GCATAGGCAACGCCCACAATGTGATGCTGAGCCTCCATGATTGAAAAAAAACAAAATCCAATGACTGAAGGGAGCAGACCAGAGATAGTCACTCGTGTCCAACAAGTGTCCCTATTGGAAAAGCTCCTCTCTATTCCTGTTTTGGTGACAACACGCATTTTTGGATTTTTCCAATTGGTGGCAATGTACGGCGGTAAATCTCCCTAAAAAGGACGCGGACAGCAATGAGTATTTATATATACACTGTAATCATTTTAAAAAAGTAATAAAAAGGGTGGATCACTGGATACCTGGCCCAACACACCCAAACACACAGGGCTGGGGGACTGGGAAGATGCAGAATGGAAAAAAAGGTTTCATCAATTGGCCTCACTCGAGAATGGGAAGAAGGAGTTAATGATGGATAAAAGGGAAGAAGGAGTTAATGATGGATAAAAGGGGAAGAAGGAGTTAATGATGGATAAAAGGGGAGAAGGAGGGGGAGGCGTTAATTAGGAATAAAAGGGATGGGTCACTGGATAGAAGTTAATTAGGGATAAAGAGGGAGAAGGGGAAGAAGGAGTAACTTAGGGATAAAAGGGGAGAAGGCATTAAGTAGGGAGAAGGGGAAGAAGGAGTTAATTGGGGATAAAAGGGAAGAAGGAGTTAATTGGGGATAAAAGGGAAGAAGGAGTTAATTGGGGATAAAAGGGGAGAAGGCATTAAGTAGGGAGAAGGGGAAGAAGGAGTTAATTGGGTATAAAAAGGGAAGAAGGAGTTAATTGGGGATAAAAGGGAAGAAGGAGTTAATTGGGGATAAAAGGGGAGAAGGCATAAAGTAGGGAGAAGGGGAAGAAGGAGTTAATTGGGGATAAAAGGGAAGAAGGAGTTAATTTGGGATAAAAGGGGAGGACGGGGAGGCGTTAATTAGGAATAAAAGGGATGGGTCACTGGATAGAAGGTAATTAGGGATAAAGAGGGAGCAGGGGCAAGAAGAAGGAGTAATTTAGGGATAAAAGAGGTAGATGATTGGATATCTGGCCCAAAACTCAGGTCTGATGGGTCAGGAAGATGCAGAATGGAGAAAAGTTTAATCAACTGGCCTTTCTAGAATGGGGAGAAGGAGTTCATTATGGGGAGGAGTTAATTATGAGAAGGAGTTTTTGTTCACAATATCGTTATCAGTTCTAACATCATGCTGATCAACGAAGAGAAAAAATCGATCGATCATTTGATCAGCTAAATTTTTCATAACCATTTTCCTAGCATGTATTCCTGCCATTACTCAGATATAAATGGGGAAAAAGCATTAATTATGGATAAAAGGAGAGAAGGGGAAGTTGGGGATAAAGAGGTGGATGATTGGATATCTGGCCCAACATTCAAGTCTGGTGGATCTGGCCCAACACTCAGGTCTGGTGGATCTGGCCCAACACTCAGGTCTGGTGGATCTGGCCCAACACTCAGGTCTGGTGGATCTGGCCCAACACTCAGGTCTGGTGGATCTGGCCCAACACTCAGGTCTGGTGGATCTGGCCCAACACTCAGGTCTGGTGGATCTGGCCCAACACTCAGGTCTGCTGGATCTGGCCCAACACTCAGGTCTGGTGGATCTGGCCCAACACTCAGGTCTGCTGGATCTGGCCCAACACTCAGGTCTGCTGGATCTGGCCCAACACTCAGGTCTGCTGGATCTGGCCCAACACTCAGGTCTGGTGGATCTGGCCCAACACTCAGGTCTGGTGGATCTGGCCCAACACTCAGGTCTGGTGGATCTGGCCCAACACTCAGGTCTGCTGGATCTGGCCCAACACTCAGGTCTGGTGGATCTGGCCCAACACTCAGGTCTGGTGGATCTGGCCCAACACTCAGGTCTGGTGGATCTGACCCAACACTCAGGTCTGGTGAATCTGGCCCAACACTCAGGTCTGGTGGATCTGGCCCAACACTCAGGTCTGGTGGATCTGGCCCAACACTCAGGTCTGGTGGATCTGGCCCAACACTCAGGTCTGGTGGATCTGGCCCAACACTCAGGTCTGGTGGATCTGACCCAACACTCAGGTCTGGTGGATCTGGCCCAACACTCAGGTCTGGTGGATCTGACCCAACACTCAGGTCTGGTGGATCTGACCCAACACTCAGGTCTGGTGGATCTGACCCAACACTCAGGTCTGGTGAATCTGATCCAACACTCAGGTCTGGTGGATCTGACCCAACACTCAGGTCTGGTGGATCTGACCCAACACTCAGGTCTGGTGGATCTGGCCCAACACTCAGGTCTGGTGGATCTGACCCAACACTCAGGTCTGGTGAATCTGATCCAACACTCAGGTCTGGTGGATCTGGCCCAACACTCAGGTCTGGTGGATCTGACCCAACACTCAGGTCTGGTGGATCTGGCCCAACACTCAGGTCTGGTGGATCTGGCCCAACACTCAGGTCTGGTGGATCTGACCCAACACTCAGGTCTGGTGGATCTGGCCCAACACTCAGGTCTGGTGGATCTGGAAGATGCCGGATAAAGCGAACTTTGAATCATTGGCTTCCCTCTAACTGTTACTTTCCAATTTCTCGCAATAACATTATGTTCGGAGTCAGTCCCGGCCCATGCAGCCTTGATTCTCATTTCTAGAACATCAGCAAGCCTTTCATGCCACAACTTCTCCTAACGATGGAACGTATGTTCTACCAGAGAAGTCTCGACACTTCAGTCGGCCTGTCAATAGGCCCGTCACAGCAGAAGGTCTGGGGGGGCCCAGGGGACCACCAGCAGTCAGTAATAAGAGAAAGAGTAATGAACAAAGCTGTCCGCAGAGAGTCAGTCCATCCAGGATGTGAGCAGCTGTCAGGACGTCTCTGAGGTCCTCCAGTTCTCCACTACCGGTGGTGTAGGCAAAGACATCGATCTGAAGGTTCGTCCCTTAGAGACCACACGCACTGTTATAAGTGTCTACCGTCTTATCGGAAAGTAGAAAACATCACCTCTTCATTATATTGATGAGAGCGCCGAAGGAAGGCAAAGTCATCAGAGCGAGGCACCAGACCGTAAGGTGATGCATTGAATTCCGGGAGGATTTCCACCATCTGTCTAAGGAACTCATTTAAAAAAAAAATTTATACAACGACATACAAAAATTGGCTGTTTTGAGGTATTTCCAATGTTCAATAATGACTCTTGGTTTACCTTTACAGAATTACTCCTGAATTCAGACACATTTCCTACGAAGGTTCCCACACACTGAGCATTTGATAATCCAATATCTTCCTATCTGAAAACAAGATTTTAAAAATGTCGGGAATTTTAAAGACTTACAAATTATTTTCTTGAGGTCATATTAAAAAAAAAAGGTGATCAGATTAGGAAGGAATATTTATGAATTTCAATTTTGGATGGGCTTTTATCTAAGGTGGCCTAGCACATTATTATTTTTTTTTTAATTGAGTTTTTCTCAACATTTTGGAAAAAAAAAAAGTCAATTGAATGGAATATTACTGTAAATGATCATAGATGACATTGTGATTTGGGAAAAGTTAAAAAACAAAACAAAAAAAAAGGGACATAAAGAAATCTGAGAGAAAATACTTCCAACTACAACTGATAACTCAAACCGGATCCGCAAACAATCAATTATTCATTATTATTATTATTATAACTATTATTATTATCAATACTATGGAATAAGGAAACACTGCCAGCGCTCCTTCTACATGTCTTTATGTTTTCTACAATCAATGCTTTTATTATTATTATTACTACTACTACTACTACTATTATTATTACTACTACTACTATACTATTATTACTTTTATTATTATTATTATTATTATTATTATTAAAATAAGGAAATACTCCCAGTTCCACTCCTACCTGTCTTTATGTTTTCTCAAATCAATGCTTTATTATTATTATTATTATTTTTATTTTATTATTTTTTATTATTATTATTATTTATTTTATTTTTTATTATTATTATTATTATTATTATTATTACTACTATTATTATTAAATAAGGAAATACTCCCAGTTCCACTCCTACCTGTCTTTATGTTTTTCTCAAATCAATGCTTTATTATTATTATTATTATTTATTTTATTATTTTTTTATTATTATTATTTATTTTATTTTTTATTATTATTATTATTACTACTATTATTATTAAATAAGGAAATACTCCCAGTTCCACTCCTACCTGTCTTTATGTTTTCTCAAATCAATGCTTTATTATTATTATTATTATTTTATTTTATTATTTTTTATTATTATTATTATTTATTTTATTTTTTTATTATTATTATTATTATTATTATATATTACTACTATTATTATTAAATAAGGAAATACTCCCATTCCACTCCTACCTGTCTTTATGTTTTCTCAAATCAATGCTTTATTATTATTATTATTATTTTATTTTATTATTTTTTATTTATTATTATTTATTTTATTTTTTATTATTATTATTATTACTACTATTATTATTAAATAAGGAAATACTCCCAGTTCCACTCCTACCTGTCTTTATGTTTTCTCAGATCAATGCTTTATTATTATTTATTTATTTTATTATTATTATTATTATTATTATTATTTTTTATTATTGTTATTATTATTATTTATTTTATTATTGTTTATTATTATTATTATTATTTATTTTTTATTAATTATTATTATTATTATTATTACTACTACGGAATAACAAAATACTCCCAGTTTTCCTCCTACCTGTCTTTATGTTTCGGAATTTCCCACCTGCCATTGGATGTTTTTTTTTTGCCTTTCTCTGAATTAGCTGTGGTTATAGGATTCTGTAGATGTAGGTTGTCTATTTATTTATTCTATTTTTTTTTTTTAAACTAGATGCACTTGTATCGTTTAATCTGCTTATATTTTGCCTTCCCTGGTCACTCCCCTTCATCAACATGCTAATGACGTCTTTGAATAAAAGCATTCCGCTTTCGTTATATACCTTATTTTAGACCCAATGATGTCATCACTGGGTCTCTGTGCTTCTCCATACCATGCAAGCAGATCAAGGCTGGTGGAAGGGGACAGCAGGCTGCTGTACATAGCTTCCTGTACAAAACTGACAGGCAAGACCTGAACAGGAGAGTCACAACCTGTAGCAAAGATAGCTGCTAGGGAGAGCCTAGCCGGTCCTGAGACAGGCAGGACCCTGTCACCTGTGCAGACCCTGTATAACTGTGCAAGACTGAAGGGGAGGAGTCAGTACACCTGTGCAAGACTGAAGGGGAGGAGGCAGGTACACCTGTGCAAGACTGGAGGGGAGGAGTCAGTAAACCTGTGCAAAACTGAAGGGGAGGAGCCGGTACACCTGTGCAAGACTGGAAGGGGAGTAGTGCAAGACTAAGTACACCTGTGCAAGACTGAAGGGGAGGAGTCTGTACACCTGTGCAAGACTGAAGGGAGTGGAGGGCGAGGAGCCGGTACACCTGTGCAAGACTGAAGGGGAGGAGTCGGTACACCTGTGCAAGACTGAAGGGGAGGAGCCTGTACACCTGTGCAAGACTGAAGGGGAGGAGCCGTACACCTGTGCAGGAGACGACACCTGAAGGGGAGGAGCCTGTACACCTGTGCAAGACTGAAGGGGAGGAGCCTGTACACCTGTGCAAGACTGAAGGGGAGGAGCCGTACACCTGTGCAAGACTGAAGGGGAGGAGCCGGTACACCTGTGCAAGACTGAAGGGGAGGAGCCAGGTACACCTGTGCAAGACTGAAGGGAGGAGCCTGTACACCTGTGCAAGACTGAAGGGAGGAGCCGGTACACACCTGTGCAAGACTGAAGGGGAGGAGCCAGTACAGTACCTGTGCAAGACTGAAGGGGAGGAGCCGGTACACCTGTGCAAGACCGAAGGGGAGACCAGAGGGAGGATGTAATAAATAGGTTGTGATGATACCCGGTATAGGGGGGCCGCACATTCATTGTGAATGACTCTACAATAGGACAACGCCCCGTACCTTATATACAGCAATGCGCTGCTTTACGTTGTGCCCAAAAAAGGGGGCCGGGTCCAGTCTTGGCAGCCAATGAAAATGACTAAGCCGCCTTAACCCAACAAAATGACGGGCTCTCAATAACACCTGAACCCGGCCCTAAACACAAACAGGCAGATCAAGGCCACCCATTATTACTGCAGCAGGGGGCTGCCAATGCCTGGAAACAGGGGGCTCACCGCCGCAGTCACCTAAGAAAACCATTTTTTACCTCTCCAGCATCTACTAAAAACCTGAAACATCCAACACTCTTTTTTGGGGGGGGGTTGGACTGACCCTTTAAAGGTGTGAAATTTTCAGATTCTGAGCCCGTGTCGCAGAACGGCGAGGCCTAACAGAGAAATGATAGACGGGAGAAGAGCGCCTTCCACCAATCCATCCCGCGTCACCGCGTGTAATGACCGTGTCTGGAAATAGATGGAAAGTTTTTCTATCGAGAAAATATATCATTTTTTTTTTTTTTATTATACGTCTCGGTTTTAAAATGTTATTTTTATTAAGAAGTATTGATTGGGTTTCATCCACCCTATTTATTTCCACGCGGCTGTCTGGCTGAGGAGCAAAGCTATTTACCGAGGCTGTGAGCGCGCGCGGATTTCCCCGTAGAGCCGTACGCCGGGATGGAGCGGTTGGAGAGGCGCGCGGTAATTGATTAAGAGTGTAAAAGCACAGGGGAAAGTTAGTAATGCCACAACTCCTCTCCTAACCCCGAGCTCGCTGCAGCTTCTGCATGCATGATGAAACGCGCTCCACGCAGGCCGGGTCTCTGCAGGCCCCGCGCGCAACTCCAAATCATTTAATGCCGTGTAGAGAGAGCCAGATATAATTGCCAGCGTTTTCCCCGTAGGGCCTACTCGGAATTTTGAGCAGGAAACCGCAGAAAGATCCGGGGTTTGTAAAAGTTCCGTGCCGATGACGAGGCGCCGTGAGAGGATACCTATAAAGCATTGCGAAGCGCGTTCAATCCCACGCATGCTGGCGGGAAAGGCTGATGGCGCGGCGGCACCAACGTTAAGGGGGGGAGGAGCCAAACCGTCAAATGCAGGTAGGAGTTTGAAGGCATGCTGGTGAGCAGCGGAGTACGTATCGCGAGGAAAACAAGGCGTTTGCCTATGGCGGAAATTTTCAGGGGGAGTGGTGTCCACACCCCCGAAAGAAGGGAAACAAGTGGCGGGGATGGGGACCTGGTCAACTCTGGAGGAGGAGGTGCGCTGCTCGAGGGTCCCGGGATAGCCGGCTGAATCTTTCATTGTTCATGGTTAATTGGGTGGATTTGGTGGTTGCGGTGGGGTGGGAGATGTGTGTTGGCCGGTGGTGGTGGCGGCAGGTGGAGCAGCATGGGGATGGGGGGGGGAAGAGCCAAACCGCCAAAACGCAGGTAGGAGTTTGAAGGCATGCTGGTGAGCAGCGGAGTACGTATCGCGAGGAAAACAAGGCGTTTGCCTATGGCGGCAATTTTCAGAGGGAGTGGTGTCGCCCCCCGAAAGAAGGGAAACAAGTGGCGGGGATGGGGACCTGCTCAACTGTGGAGGAGGAGGTGCGCTGCTGGAGGGTCCCGGGATAGCCGGCTGAAGATTTCATTGCTCATGGTTAATTGGGTGGATTTGGTGGTTGCGGTGGGTGGGTGGGGGATGTGTGTTGGCCGGTGGTGGCGACGGCAGGTGGGCAGCATGGGGATGGGGGGGGGGGTGAAGAGCCAAACCGCCAAAACGCAGGTAGGAGTTTGAAGGCATGCTGGTGAGCAGCGGCGTACATATCGCAAGGCAAACAAGGCGTTTGCCTAAGGTGGCAATTTCAGGGGGAGTGGTGTCACCCCCCGAAAGAAGGGAAACAAGTGGCGGGGATGGGGACCTGGTCAACGCTGGAGGAGGAGGTGCGCTGCTGGAGGGTCCCGGCATAGCCGGCTGAATCTTTCATTGCTCATAGTTAATTGGGTGGATTTGGTGGTCGCGGTGGGGGGGAGGGTGGGGGATGTGTGTTGGCCGGTGGTGGTGGTGGCGGCAGGTGGGGCAGCATGGGGATGGGGGGCAATATTGCGGCAATGGGCTGTGGTGGTGGCGGGGGCCCTAGGGGGGTGGGGTGCTGGTGGGGTGCACCTGATGTTAGTATTGACTAGGGCAGCACATGAACTAGATACACCTCTACTGGTGAGGGGGCTTCAAGGTCGGGAAGGGACTTCATCTTGATAGGAAGCCTCTAGAGCGGGGGACTCCAAACATTTTAAGAAAGGGCCAGTTTACTGTCCTTCAGAATTTACGGGGGCTGCACTGTGCACAAAGGGAGTAAACAATGCCCGATGTTTGGTATTAGGGGGAGAAATAGTTGGTGTCAATGGGAGAATAACAGCCTATTTTTGTTGTCAGTGGAAGGAATTATGACCAATCATTGGTGCTTGTTGACTGAATAGTGCCCCACCATTGGTGTCAGTGGGAGGAATAGTGCCCCATCTTTGGTGTCAGTGGAAGGAATAGTGCCCCATTGTTGGTGTCAGTAGAAGGAATAGTGCCCCATCATTGGTGTCAGTGGGAGGAATAGTGCCCCATTGTTGGTGTCAGTGGGAGGAATAGTGCCCCATCATTGGTATTAGTGGGAGGAATAGTGTCCCATCATTGGTGGGAGGAATAGTGCCCCATCATTGGTGTCAGTGGAAGGAATAGTGCCCCATCATTGGTATTGGTGGAAGGAATAGTGCCCCATCATTGGTGTCAGTGGAAGGAATAGTGTCCCATCATTGGTGTCAGTGGAAGGAATAGTGCCCCATCATTGGTATCAGTGGGAGGAATAGTGTCCCGTCATTGGTGTCAGTGGGAGGAATAGTGCCCCATCATTGGTATTGGTAGAAGGAATAGTGCCCCATCATTGGTGTCAGTGGAAGGAATAGTGCCCCATCATTGGTGTCAGTGGGAGGAATAGTGTCCCATCATTGGTGTCAGTGGGAGGAATAGTACTCCTTCATTGGTGTCAGTGGGAGGAATAGTGCCCCATCATTGGTGTCAGTGGGAGGAATAGTGTCCCATCATTGGTGTCAGTTGGAGGAATAGTGTCCCATCATTGGTGTCAGTGGGAGGAATAGTGTCCCATCATTGGTGTCAGTGGGAGGAATAGTGCCCCATCACTGGTGTCAGTGGGAGGAATAGTACCCCATCATTGGTGTCAGTGGGAGGAATAGTGCCCCATCATTGGTGTCAGTGGGAGGAATAGTGCCCATCATTGGTGTCAGTGGGAGGAATAGTGCCCCATCACTGGTGTCATGGGAGGAATAGTACCCCATCATTGGTGTCAGTGGGAGGAATAGTGCCCCATCATTGGTGTCAGTGGGAGGAATAGTGCCCCATCATTGGTGTCAGTGGGAGGAATAGTGCCCCATCATTGGTGTCAGTGGAAGAAATAGTACCCCCATTGTTAGTGTCAGGGAAGCTCATAGATGGGGTTCTTGTTTTAGGGTGAGGTTAGGGGAGCTCACACACGGGTTCTTGGTTGAAGGTTAGTGTAGAGGTACGTGGCAATCAGCCTGAAGTATGCATTCAGGTGAGGGGGTTGGGGCATCTCCACATCTACATTGTTGTGGCATCTCCACATCTCCATCGGTTGGTGGCATCTCCACATCTCCATTGGCCTCCACATCTCCATAGTGATGCCAGGAAATGATACAACTCTTCGATCATCAAATCACTTCCATCTTTCAGTAACCACAGCGGTCACAGGACTGCCTTTTATTGCTGGCGCTAGGGGGAGCAGAAAGTAGGACCAATGTCTCCTCTGCCATGGGCTCTGGCGCCATCTTGGGAAAGGCTGTGTCTAGTTTTGACACAGGGCTCTTTTGCGAGATTCCAGCAACCAGTTTGGATCCCAATGTGCTAGTCTAAGTCACGAAGGGTCCCAAGATTTTGGGAAGTGTAGACAGGGAGAGGAACCCATCCGCTAGGGACAGTCAAGCATTATAGTGAGGGACAGGTGCTTGTTTGTTGATGGATAGATAGGCTCCAGAAAAGGCTGAACCCAAATTGGAGGACTGGAAACCTCTGGGGACCTGGAAACCCACAGGAGAGGACTGGAAACTGGGGAGCCTAGGAACTGGAGGAAGGACCCCCACAGGAGAGAGGACTGGAGGGGAAGGACTGGAGGAAACCCCCCAGGAGAGGACTGGAAACCTCTGGGGAGCCTAGGAACTGGAGGAAGGACCCCCACAGGAGAGGACTGGAAACCTCTGGGGAGCCTAGGAACTGGAGGAAGGACCCCCACAGGAGAGGACTGGAAACCTCTGGGGAGCCTAGGAACTGGAGGAAGGACCCCCACAGGAGAGGACTGGTATCCTCCTTTATTTCCATGTAGTAGTTCCTCTAAATATCTTGGATGCGGCATTTACATTCCATGAGATGTTCAGGGATTCGGCGAGGCGCGATCCGTCACAACCGCAGACGGGATATTACCACCCATAAGTGGGAATGAGGCCTATAAATCACAGCTCATTTGAAATCACGACGGCCATCTTTTTTACCGAGCCGAGCGCACTTCCCCGGGCAAAGCTCCTTTCAAGATGGCTGCACATTGGCTTTTTCTAATTAAATTAAATTAGCGGCGCTTCCTGTAATGTCGTGAATGAACTGTATGGGCAGGCGGGGAATGGCGGGGGGGACGGAGGAGTGTCGGGGACAGAAGCTCGGGGATCGGCGGTGGAGGCCGTATGCCGATGTTTATCACATCCAAGCTGAAATATTTAGCCCGAGGTAGTGCGCTGTACCTGCAGATATGAGATGGGAACTGACAGCCTCGCTGGGCCCGATGCATTTTCAACATGTTTTCCCCGGCGCTGCTGATTATTAGAGGGATTAGCGGTGTGCTGAGGGGAATCA